GATAAAACCCTCTGATACAGAGAACGACTGTAGTATTTCTGTTTCTGTCTGTGCCAAAGACTATTTCACTACTACCCTAAGGAAACCAGACTTTGTTGTTGCTGCTGTTCTTCTTCTCAATACACAGTCTATCTTTTCTAACCCCTGACTGGGATTTAGTATTTCAGAGCTTTCCCATGGTCAGAAGTATAAGTACGCTAACACTAAATGAGATCCCGGACTTGTCAAACTCACAATTGGTATTCAAAATTGTGTCATTCTGATTATCACATTGTGTTTCTCTATATCCCTGTAGATAAGGACTAGATCTTGCCCAAGAACTGCTTGTAGCTCAAAAACTACAAGAAACCAGTGCAATGAAGTCATGAAGACTTACAGAGGGCAGAATATGCCATCTCTGAGAAACTGCATGTCACAGAATTAGGAACTTTTTTTTTACTCTGTTTTTGTAGACTAATAGACATTCCTAAGCATGACAGAGCAGAATTTGTTATTGTAATTTGATTTTAATCTCTGTAATTTAAAAACATTTTGATTGTTGATATGTTCTTGATTTTTCAATTTAACTGTTCAGTTTTGTTCCTGATCCCTAACTGGATATATCAAGACTCTAAATACAAAAATCAGTGCAACAGACACTTTAAGATAATAACCATAAGGTAGTTTTTAGACACATTTCACAAAATAACCATGTGAATCCATGCCCATGTCTGATAATGACTGGAATATGCAAACTTCAGAAAATCTTTCTCATGTTGTGTCTGTTTTTTAATTGTGAAAAGGCAGGCTTCCAATATGTCTGTCCAAAAGTATCAAAGATGTATCTAGAATAAGATATATTTTGCCTTTTTATGCTTGTAAGTGTTGAATTTCAAGTATGGTAAAAGTTCAATATTTGAAATTTTTCATACGATGGCCCTCCTTCTTCTATGTGTACTTCAGTAGTTTTTCCACCTTGTACATGGTTGCTATTAAATACCATTATATCATATAACCAATATCATATTTAACCAATATCACCAGTTAATATCATTGGTACCAATATCATTAACATTTTCAAATTACAGTCTGAAGAAAAACATGATGTTTTGAAGACCCTTTTAAAATCTCAGTAGAATTACTCTAAATAACTGGGCAAACATTGGTTTATTCCTTTTGATGGTGTTGTCCAGGCTACGGATGAAATCAATGTATGTTGAGGAAGTGCTGATTTAATGCATTTGTCTAGTTGTAGTACCAATGCAGGAAATTTCTGAATTACCTTATCTGTTTTGAGAGGCAGAAAATGCAGTAGAATAGTCTATTTTATACTGTTTCCTTTAAAATTCAGAAAACAAACATTCAAAGATTGACAGATCTAATAAAAGCCTTCCAACTACTGTATTTGTACATGATCATGGCAAAAGTTGTTTGTATTCTAACAAATAAAATTCTAATTCCAAAATTTCTGACAAGAAAGAATATGGAAATAGATAAACCACAAAAAGCAGTATTTGTTCATTGATACAAAATTCAGTCACTCTGGATGATGTAATGTTTATTATCAGGACAGATGTTGAATAGTTTTTTATCTGGGTAACACTGTAAATTGAAAAAGTGTTTCCAAATTAATTAAAACCAGCCCTCTGCTAACAACCTGACAATGTAATTTTGATTGGTGGTAGAGAAGGAGCAGGTGATTAAAGAAAAAATTATAGAATGGAACCCAGGAAATTTCTTTGCAGGAAATGTTTTTTGAAGGAAAGAGGAATTTTAACCTAATTCAGCAGCTAAGCACCACATAGCTGCTTGCTTGCTTCCCCAGCAGTGGGATCAGAGAGAGAATTAGAAGGATAAAAGCAAGAAAATCTATACATTGAGATAAAAACAATTTAAAAGGGAAAGCTAAACTTGCAGACACTAGCAAAACAGAAGAGGGAATTCATTCACCATTTCCCAGGTGTTCAACCATCTCCAGGAAGCAGGGCTCCATTGGGTAAAAGTTACTTGGGAAGACAAATGCCATCACTTGGAACATTTTCCCCTTCCTTCCCCTCCCCAGCTTTAACTACTGAGCTTGACATCTGGTCACCTGTGTCCCAGCTGTGTCCCCTCCCAACTTCCTGTCCACCCCCAGCCTCCTCACAGAGGGAGTGATGTGAAGAGAAAAAAAGGCTTTGGCTCTGGTAAGCGCTTCTAAGCAATAACGAAAACATCCCTGTTTTATCCAAACTCTGTTCATCACAAATCCTAAACAGCCCCATACTCTCTTCACTGTGAAGAGAGTTAAAATTTGTCCCAGCCAAAACCAGTCCAAGGGACAGAAAATAGTCCAAGTGAAGCAATTAATATTAGATTCTGTTGTATGTGGAGTGGCGTATCTTATACCATATACCATAAAAGATAGTACTTAAAGAGTAATTGCCCTCCAAGATTTAAAGTGTTCTCAATTAAAGACAAATCAGACTGCATCAAGAGGAAAATGCCCAGTCTGATTTATCTGGAGAAAATCAGACACAAATATGAGGGAAAGTCTAATTTGTGATTAAAATACAGGAATCTTAGATCAGATATTGAATTAAACAAAACTGGGAGTTCACTGGTAAAAGACAGTACTGGAACAGAAAAATAAGGCTAGAATCAAGGTAGGGATTAAAAAAATGCATAAATAAATAATTGAATAGAAGGAAAAAGTGTGGGGAGTAGAGGTGAAAAAAACCAGATGCTCTTCTAAATAGGACATGAGAAGTTGTTTTTTATTGCAATAGTTATAACTGAACCCTTCATCTGCTTTTGAATTATTCCCATTTGGATGCTTCTTTGCTGCCTTTACATTTTGTATCCATATGTTAACATGTGCTGTGTACTAAAGTTATAAGTGGGCCCACAGTTACAACTTCTTTACCCTTGCATAATCAATTTGGCCTCATGTGTCTCTTGATTCTTGACAGAATCATCAGAGCACGAAGTAAGGCAAGATACATCTTTCATGGTTGTCTCCATGCACTTAGCAAAGGCCCCTTCAGTCACCACCACAAAAGCAAATATTCAAGTAAGGCAAGTGAGGGCAATGGTCTCATTAAGGGAAGTACTGGTGACCTTCTGGCAGAGATCCAAAGAGCTTGCAAAGGAATGGGGATTAAAATACCCATATGCTCAGCCTGTGTGGTTTGGCTGGCATGAAAGCAAAATAACAAGCTCATCCCCTAGGAAGAGAGGACAAGACATTAAGCAAAGCAGCTGAGGGTCATTTGGCATTTCAGAAATGGGGATAAAGGCACAGTGTAATGGTCCAGTAAATCTGATTGGAGTCTAGAGTCAGGAATCTTGATTGCCCATTGTAGCTCACTCTTGGTTTTACCCTGTGGCTAAAGGCTGGTGGTTCTACCTTCCTGTCTCTTTGCCTTCACATTAGAAAATGTGGAGGATGATGCTAAAAAGTTTTGCAGGTATTTTCTGATACTTAATTTAGTAACATTTTGGAAAAGACAAATGTACCTGGAAATGATAAATTTGTTTACCCATCTTGTTTGTACATTAGAAATCCTTGTGTGTACAGCCATTACATTTGGACAGCAAGTTTACACTGTAATTAATTTCATAAAGCCAGCAGCATGAGCATTTCCAAGCAATACAGAGAACAAAAGCTACACATTCCTTGGAACTGGTCCCTGAAGTCCTTTGTGTGGGGATGGATTGACAGAGAGAGACAGATATTTGTGGGCACAATGGAAAGACCCTGAGAGAGACTTTATATTACGTATAATAATAGAATGTTGTTCTAGTAATAACAAATGACCACTCTTAAATCCTCTGATTTGGGTGGTAAACTGGAGAGCAAGGAGGAGGAAAATTATTATTTAATACAAGTCAGTTTGCACATAGGATTGCTAATGGTTTTTCATTGTGTTGACTGAACTAAGGAGGAGACTAAGCCAAGGTGGAGTGCTCCCCTCCAAATCTATTTACTCCTTGCAATTTGTGGAGTGACAAGACATCAGGCTGAAGTGAGGATGTGAGGTGGTGGGGTAGGGATTAAGATGGAGCATGCTCTACGTCCATTGTTGTTAGGATACAAATATCTTCTTTAATTTCTTTTTTCTTCCTCCAACCCTTTGCTTTTACCCTTCCCTGTATCCCCTCTTTTTTCTGTTTTTGCCTGTTGCTGTGTTTGAGCCTGGTGGAGCTGCAGGAAAGCAGTACTGATGAGAGAAGCTCATTGAACTAATTTCACAGGGGGGGGCTGTGCATGTGGATTAGAGAGTGGCTAATGGGGCATTACAAATACCTGAGGGTCATGTCTCATTGCCATGGCGAGCCAGATTTCTTCACGTGAACTGGGTGCATTTGTGTCTAGGAAGAGGCTTTCAGCTTTAATGTACACTAAACTTTCTTTCTCCATCATACTGGACTTGGTTGTTCTGAAAGCTGTACCCCAGGCTGCTGTCAATCGACACTATCTACAATTCATCCAGCTCCCTAAGATGCAAGTTTTTCAGGGTGGTGTTTTCATTACATGTTCTTAACTGTGGCTCATCTCCTGCTGACACTGCACAAAACCTGCCAAAAGCCTTCTTTTGTAGATAGAAATGAATCTTGATTAGTTTCCAAATACTCTGTCAAGAAATTGTACACAGCATGTAAGCTCTAAAAAGCAAGGTGGTTTTTTTTCCATGACCATTTCAATACAGGCATTTGTCTACTTTTATCCACACATGGCTTGTTTTTTTGAAAAAATAAATAAATTTCAAATTCAGTATAGCTGAATGCTTCCGTTTTGTATTGCTTAGCATGAAGAATAATCAGAAGAAGAAATAAGCAGGACATGAAGTTTTTATACAATTTGCATTCTTTTTAAATTGTTTTCTGTCTAAATAAAGGTGTTGATGTTGTGTAGTTCCTATTCAAATCTATATGTTTATGTGCAACTTTAAATAGTAATGTTAATGCAAGTAGGATCAATCCTTCATTGCTCAGTAATCTACAATATGCGACATCTTCCTCTCCTCTTCTCTCTCCAGCACTGCAGTGACAACACCCACCATTGCCAGTCAGATATGAATATAGTAGGTGCTTGGAAGAGAGGTTACACTGGAAAGAATGTTGTGGTCACCATCCTGGATGACGGCATTGAGAGAAACCACCCAGACTTGATGCAGAATTATGTGAGTGTCCACAAGCGTCCAGGTTTCCTGCTTTGTTATTACTCAAAAAATAACTTGCTGCTTGTAGAAAGATGGAGGAAGAGAGGAGGGAGGGAGGAAGAGTCATACAAGTGTTTCCTCAAATATTAACACCAATGGGAAGAAGGAAAACAGTTTTTGATAATACATATTGTTTTAGCTAAGACTGTGTTTCATCTGAACATACTTAATATCTGGATGCCTCTTGTAGCTGAGCCCTGTATTTCTGAAAGACTAGAACCAATTACTGGGTATTTTTTGTCTCTTCTGCAATTTTTTTACTTAATATCTTCACACTCTTAAAACTTAGAAATGGAATACATTGCTTTTCAGTTAACATATGCAGCTGAATTCCATATTTGGCCAATACATTTAGTCAGTGAGACAGAAGCTTTTCTCGAAGACAGTAATTTTACAGTAATCTTTCCATGCATTAATTTTTAAAGCTATTTATCATACTGCTAGAAAAAATATGAAAGGAAAAGTATATGACCTTTCATGATTCACTCAGTTAAAAACAAGTGTAGAATATTCTGTTGTAGAATATTCTTTCTAGTAAATCTCTTTTAACTCTACTGAGTCCCCTCACAACTTGTGATAGAGCTGCATCCATTGTTTTCTGTCTTCTATGTCTCACATTGCCTCAGGAGGTTTCTGTATGCTTGTGGTTCAGCACATTTAGATGACTGATTTAATCTGTCTTGGAGGTTGATAACATAAGGAGAATCTTCAAATCTTCTTCTCTGGTACGTTGCTTCCTATGTTGGTGTCAGAGTTTGATGCTGTTCAGAGCATCAGGACCAAATTTTGCTGAAGTGACTTGTCCTATCTTTTGGAAATAGGCATTAGCTGAAGGCATGTCAACCATATGAGGACCTTACGATTTATCTGAATTAAAATGTGCAAGGTGTGCTTCTACACAGAGTAATAATAGAAGCAAATATATTTGGATTGAGCTAGACTGGTGAAGATGACCAGTTCAAGGCATGAACATACCTTCATTCCCATTACAAATATAGATCTTGTTAAAGAGCCCTAAACACAGGCTTTTTGCCAGCAAGCATATCTTCTCGATAGAGCATTAAGAGATCATGACAAAAACATCTTTAACAACCTGTTAAAAACTACAATGATGTTCACAGTTTACAGCCACTTATTTTAAATTAGCCATGTTTACGTATGCATCCTTCCCTTGCTGCATGTGAAACTCAGCTTGGAGGATGTGAAAACACAAGTGGGGGCAATTGCACAATTTGTCAATGTATCTTTGATCCTAGCACATGACACATCATTCATTTTAATATCTTAAATTATTTAAATAAAGCAGATATAATTTTACCTCCACAGTGAATGACCCAGATTGTATCATGTCACCTCATTCCAGTACTGTCCTACCACTGAATTTAAAGCAACTATTTATATCCTTACCACTTCTCTCTCCCTTTTCCCACACCAAGTAATTCCCCAAATTCACAAGCAATACACATTGCTTGTTTGATCACAAATGCCTTCTATATCTCAGATTATAGGTAATGGGGCTGCAAACAGGAATATTTGAGGTAGATGTGTAACTGGTTTTGAACAAACAAGAGTTTAAAAATTGCTGCTTGCCATGTCAACATGTGGTGACATGCTACTGCATCAATTAATGAGAGCCATACAAACCAGCAGCTGTTCACACTGTGAACTATTTTCAGTTGTAAGAACCATGATAAATATGGAACAAAAAGACATATATCTTGCAGATATTTGAAGCAGTTTGTGTTGCTTTCCAATATGTAATTTTATAACAGTATTCTTAAGAAAATTATATTATTTTTATTTCTTGAAACAATGGCTGAAATTTCAGTTACAGTCATGTAGTTAGTTTTTTTGAATCTTAAAACATTCAGCAAAATCTCTGTTTTGAGAGTGAACTCCCTTAACTTCCAAAAGGTTCTTAGAAGAGAAGTAGTCTTCTGATTAAATAAAACGCCATTTTCTATTTCCTCCCTAATGCTGGACCTATACTTTTTCAGAGCATTTTTTTATCCTTCTCTGTGTTCCAAAATGAAAATAAAATATTTAATTCCTGTACATAAAGTTTTCCTAAAAGACACTCACCATGAAACCAGAGGGATATTAGTTAGCCTAATTAGTCATTTGCAAGAACCTGCTAACTGAGGTATAGGCCACATGAGTCAATGCCTAATTAATTGCCAACTGTTTTTTTTTTTTCTTTGTTGGATACAGGATTCTCAGGCCAGTTTTGATGTAAATGGAAATGATTTTGACCCTATGCCTCGATATGATGCCAGCAACGAGAACAAGTAAGGCACTATGATACCCTTGACATTTTCAATCTGAGCCAGCAGGTAGAAGGTACCAGTTCATCTGTGAAACTCTACAAAACTTGATTCCTCATAAAACAGAATGATCTGCATTAAAATCTTTGTGAAATACATATTTTTTCTTTTCCATGCACACACATGACTCTTTGAAAGCATTTGAAACTATCTGAAAATACATAAAAATTAGTCTGAGAATTATGGGCATGTGAAATGAATCATTTTCAATCCCTTTGGGAGGCAGAATATATGGGATGACTTGCTTTTCTTAAATGTCATTTCACGGAATTATTAGGGGGTTATTATGAGTTAAAAATGTTCTAGTTTCTGACTCTCTTAAACTTTGTAGATTTTTTTTTAATTGAAGTAGGCAAGTTAATGGAGGTTGTTGCTTCTTTTTCCCCTTCCAATGACACCTTTTAAAGTGATGGAGATTTTTCATTTGGACATTGATAGAAGCACAGAAGTGGAAATTCTGGCAGGTTTTATCTGTGTCACATGACTAGTTGGAGATATCTCAATGAAGGACATATTCCCCCTTAAGAGTTCTGCTTTCTGATATTTCTCATTCCAGTTTTGCTCATTGAATATGCTCTGATTAAGGCTTGGAGAAAACCAGAGAGGACACCTCACCTGAGAAAGTGGGCCACCTTTCTGCTCAGTGGCATTTGAGGGCAGTTATTTGATGGTAACGTTTTCTTAGCTAGGTTCTTGGCAGAAAGAAACACCCTTCTGTGGAATTGCATCATTTGAAGGAAGGAGAATCCTACATATATTTTGTAGGACATATTGTTGTCAATATGTTGACTACGCATTTTGTTTTCTTGAGGTTTGGGTTGTTTTGTTTTTTTTAATTCTGAAAAGCATTTAATAGTTTCTGCCTACAGAAAAGAAACTACAGAGGTTGAAACCTTGTCCTTTATACAGCTAAAATGCTTTAGGGGGTATGTTGTTTCTTTCCTACAAACAAATTTTATCCAGAAGTGTAACGTGCCGGCCATGGGTGGGGAGACAAAATCCACGACTCGTGCTCCAGGTACTCATGAGACAAAACAGCCTCGTTTATTATTCAGAACTCACTTAAATACCCAATTCAAATTTCCCGGGCTAGACAGACATTGGCTGAGATCTCTGTCCCTGCCCAGCGTCCTGGCCACTCATGTGCTTACTTCTCAGCTTGGATGGGGCTGGCCGAGGGTCCTATATAACTTATCCAGGGACATGTTCAGGCATGAGCTAGGCTAGCTGAATTGGGTTTGTGTTATGGTCAGATTCACTTTGTCCAGTCCAGACCAGCTGTACTGTGACAATACTGTGACACAGAAGAATGCAGCAGGTGAAAGCTGGGAGTCAGGTGCAAAATTTAACATTGATTTAACTGCAGAAACAAGAAACCTTGGATCACTTTGATGGGAGAATCCTCTCCTGGTCAAAACCCTCATGATAAAGGCAGGGAAGGCTGTTACATCATAATAGGACAGGGTAAAGAACAAGGCCTCATTACTTGACCTCTGCAAATACTCTTCAGCTGAGCTGCAGGTTTGCATCACAGCACACCCATTTCTTCTGCAATCCACCACATACCTATCCCTACATACACTTTAGGGACACATCCTGTCTCAGCTGTAGGAAGATGTTCCTCTTGGACTTCTTGGATTTGAGGCATAACAAGGGTACACTTAGAGACTTCCAAATTTCAGTGCACTTTCAAGGACTTCTGGGTGCAGCAAAAAGCCACCTTCACCTGTGAATTTGAATCTTTTTTTTTGTCGGAGTAGTGAAGTCACTTTCGTACAAAGCATGTCCAAAAAAGTGAGTCTGCTTTCTATTTTATTAGTAGTTTAAGTTTTATACAGGATATGAATTTGAACTGCTTCTTTTATCTCTTAGAGCCCAGGGGATTTTAGTTTTCATTCCCTGCCTCCCCGTTAAGTACTTCCACTGCCCAGCCTCCAAGATTCTGCAGTGAAGCAGGGTGATAGGAGGGCAGAAGCTTTGCTGTACTATGCTTTGTCAGTGTTATCAGGACGTACAGTGTCAGTCAGACAGTACAGAGCCAGCTTTTGGACACCAAGGGTACATGAAGCATGCTTTCAGTATAAGATTATTTGGCAGCCTAGCCTCTACTTAGAACTTAGAGGCTCAGTGTTTCCAGTTAGCAGATATACGAAGTGTGATAATCAGCAGTTAACCACCTTCAGTTTTTGCAGCTCTTGCCCTTTTTTCCTAGTTGCCTGTAAACTAAACAAGAATTAAACCACTACACAGGTACCAAAAAGCGCTACTTAAGAGTGCTGTCCATATTTTTTGTGTCTAAAATATCTTCAGAAATTGGGGCAGGAATTCAGATTGTCCAGCATACATGGCCATTTGGCACTAGAAACTCAAGTTGTGTCAGGAAAGTTGAGCTAAACACAGGCAGGGAACATTCTGAAAGCCATGCATTACAAAGACTTAATAATGTGTAGATCAGTTTGGTTGATTCCTGCTTCCTTCAGTAGCAGCTGGACAGACAAATTACCATAATAATGATTTGTGTTTTTCAGTGAAGGTGGGATGTAGAAATGCACTGTCATTTTCAAGATGATCTAGTTTATTCTGCCTCATTTTATAATCCAGCCTTAAGGGATGGAATGATAAAGAGCAAAAGGAATTGCTATAAAAATAAACAGGTGTCTGGGCAGCTCTGCATGTAGCTGTGAAACATCAGAGTATTGGATCTGTGTGTTAGCTTTTCACTTTTAATTAGAGTGAAGGCTTAGTGCTGAGGCTTATTGGTGAGCAAAAAGGAGCAAGAAAAAATTAACTATAGATTACTTTAGTGTGAGCACCAGAGTGCCACTTTCTAAAATTATATTTTGGAAGTTTTACATTAAATCTTCTATTAGCTAAGGAGAACAGGAGGGTAGGAAGAAACATTAGACTAAACTTTCAAGGCTTGTAGTCAAAATGGGTGGGATGATAGTTTCTTTAACTACTATGGTATGTAGGCGTGCTGCCAAAAGTTTGCTTTGGTTCCTACAAATTGCCAGCAAATCATGAAGCTTCTAAATGGTACAGACTTATACTAGAGTTTCCTTTTGCTCAGAGGCAGTCAGCTGTGGATGAAGTAATTTCTGCTATGCAAGGCATCTTGTTTTGGTTTACTGCTTTATTCTTTTTCTGTTATTCCACTGCTATTTGTTAACATCTGTGTTTATAAAATTAGGCATTATCAGTCACAGGTCCATAACAGAATGCAATGGGGTCACTGAAATGGTATTGTACTTATTATATAGCCTCAGGAATAAAACAGAAATGTTCATAGTATTTTTTTGACCAAAACAAAAATTACTTCTTCTGTTTCGTAAGATATTTCTTAGAGATGATATTTGAAAGCTTAGGTTTTACTGTGGTGACAGGTACTTTTATAAAACAGAGGGACTTCTAAAAAAACTCCTTTAAATAATACCAGTTGACATTAATGCAATTCTTGTTAAACTTGCATAAGAAAAAGTAAAAGTGAGCTGTTATTTCTGATTTGGAGACACTGAGTCACTATTTGGATGCCTCTTCAACATTTTTCAATGATGCATCCCACTACATAAATAATTTATTTCAATAACCTCCTAAATTGCTTTTTAATGAGTGTAAGATCTTTGAAAGACAACAATTCTTGTCGTTCAAAAGTTACTAGAAACAGAATCTCTTATGTCTAAACTTGCAATATGGGGAGAACTTTACACCATTTCTCACAAAAAAATAGTGAGTTGGTGAGTTTCAGTCATGTTTGATCCAGCACATCAGCATTGTTTTGCCATGGCATCCATTATGATTCATTATTACTTTCCTTTGCCAATCACATTAATGTAGATGCCCAATAAAATGCCAAAGTCTTAATTTTCTTCATTGAGTGGCAAGCTGCTAGTTTATACTCTCACGGTGAAGGCCTGTAGTACCTCCAGAGTCATTTTAATCATATTGGATACAAGATACTTGACAGGCAGATGAGCTTCTGTTTCGTCCTGGATAGTCAATAGAAAGAAATTGAAAAGCTTTATTGCCTGCTGTGACACTATTCAGTCAGATACCTGAAGAACTGAGCACAGCAAACAAAGAGAGCCTGAAGTCTCTGATTGGTGGCTTGAACGATCATCTCAAAAGGTTCCCACAGCAGCACTGTGACAGAAAGGAGTGCTGACAACTGGGAGTATATTTCTATGCAGTTTGAGTGCTGGTATGCACCCGTTGCTGTTGATTTTAAATTTACTGTATTACTGCAGACAAAACAGAAGGGAAGATAAACTGTACAGAGAAGCACTGCTGCACCATCTTTACTTTCAGTTGGAGTAAGGTATCAGCTCTTAGGTAAAGGCTTTTGTTTTCAGAGGGAATCTCGATTGTGTTTGCTCTTCTTCTGTACCCTGACTTTTCAACATGATGTTCTCCAGCCTCTGGAGATAAAACCAAAGCATGAAGTGATATTGTCTCTGCAATATCTGTTATTATATATGTTATTATATATGTTATTATATAATATATGTGTGGTCTGTTGGATGCCAGAAAAGCATCTCTGATAGCCCAGAAATGCTCCTTAGGGGGGAGGTAATTTAGGCTAAAAATTAATTTTACACTTAATATGTGTATATATTTCAGATCAGTAGAATTTAATGCTCACACTGAGTGTGATATTGTTGATTTCAGGTACCAATTACTAAATGTCAGGTGTCTAGTGTATCTCAGTGTCACTGCAAATTTCATGGACTTCAGTTAGGATTCTTAGAAAACTGCAGATTTTGGTTTGTTTTCTCTAGCTGGTGACATTCAAATGTTCATTTGTGAAAACCAGAATCTGAACCAAGCAGTCAGAGGTCATTGGTATAGAAGCTGCAGTCAGTGACTGCAATCCTGATTTATCATGTTTTGGTTGTACTCTGATTCTAAACTGTGTTATGGCCACATCCTATTGTGCTGCAATTTTAGCAGATGTTAGTAGTGAAGTA